CTACTTAAAAGTTATTAATTGGGGTGTTTAATAGTCTTCTAAGAGCAAATTTGATAAGGGTGATAGCGAGGGGGGAGGGGGGGGGGGTGACACCATGACGTTAACCTGCTAATAATAGAGAAAACATGCTACAACAAGCTGTATTTATAACCGACCATAGATAAAAATCGTTAATATCTGAGCACAGTTTAAAGCAATCGCCGTGGGGGAAGGGGGGGGGGGGAAAGTAAGGGAAGTTACAATACAGTAACTCAACGTTGCAAAATGTCGAGGTAAACGGTTTGGTTGAGAATCGTAATAACTTACGTGTTAATCTTTGTATGGGGGGTAAAAAATTTCAATACAAAAATATGTGAAAACATATACACATGCGTATATACATACTTACTTATACATATATATATATATATATATATATATATATATATATATATATATATATATATATATATATATATATATATATATATATATATTACGGGGGGGGGGGGGGCTGACACCATTAAGTGCCGCATCGGGTGACACCCGACCTCGCTATGTCACTGAGTTTGAGGATGATTTACGCTAGGTTCAAATGTTGATTAAAATTTTAATTAACAAGCATCAGTGGCGTAGCCAGGGGAGGGTCATAGCCCCCCCCCCCATAGACCCCTCGGTATTATTTAAAAAGTATGAGGGGGGGGGGGCTGCAAATAGAAAGTTTGAGGGGGGGTTGTCCCCGGGTAAAAATTGGACCCCCTCCCCCTTGAGACGATCCTGGCTACGCCACTGACAAGCATATATTAAAAAATATGTTTATTAACGTCAGATTTAGTTATTACTTGATCTGAGATATCTACTTTAAAAATGTCAAATTGAGGCCACAGGGGTCATATTTCATACATGCCATGAGCTATTTTTAACTTTGACCCTAACCTCCATTGTTACAATACACAAAACATCTTAAAATGACATCAGGCAGCCACCACCCCCTCTAAAAATAAACTACTAAATCTAAAAACAAGTAAATAAAAAGTCTAGTGACAATTTAAGCGCAATTTCCTTAATTAATATTTTGTGACCGAACGAAAGGATATTTTTTTAAAAACTTTCTTCGGCAATATTGTAATTATGGCAGGAATCGATTGGTAAATGTTTCAAGTCGCTAAGTGGTCTGGTTGCCGAGATATGGGCCAAAAACTGCATTTTTTCGAGGTTGTTTGGCTTTTCCGGGAAATCCAGGAAGGAATTCCGGGAATTTTTTTGGCCCACAATCATCCTCGGAACTTGCTTAACATATTTGCTTTTGGAACTAGTCCTCGATATTGCTTCGTTGAGTAGGAGATACGAGTTAAAGCTGCGGACACACATCCATCCATCCATCCATCCAGAAATAACGAATTAATAATCGCAATTGTCAGTATGGAAATTGCGCTAAAAATACGTCGTTTTTCATTTTTTTTAAATCTGATGCTATATTATATTTACCTGTGAGATCGTTAAATTAAATACAAGAGACGGCTATGATTAATGCAACGATCAGCGTTTCGGTTTTCGTAGCTATGTCAACAAGAAAAACGCATCATACATACAACTGTTTGGATTATACAGCGATGTAAGAGGTGATATTGTTTTGGTATCGGAGTTTAGGGTAGATCATAATAAATATAGATTTAAATAGCAATATTTAGCGTGTGTTGAATTTCTTTCTAAACTACCTCCCCTAGCATAAACATTAAAATTTTTAATTAATTAGTTTTATTCGCTCTACTGTTATTAAACTGTATCCATTTTTTAAAAATCTAATCCAGAATATTATAGGACATTGATCAGTTTTATATGTTTTAACAATGTGTATGTATATAATCTTTTCTTCGTGTTTTTTGTTGACGTGTGATGAAGACTATCTTGCCTCCCTCGAATAGTAGAGCACACACAAAAAAATCCCATATGATGTCAATCAATTTAAAATCTATAATCGAAAGATTGTGCAGTAATATTCATGGTCCATCCAACTTGCAGTGGTTGGAGGGGTGTGGCCTTGGGTGGAGGGGTGTGGCCTTGAGATTAGGCGTTAGTCCTAACATGACGAGTAAAACATAACTGCGTTAAAATTTAACACGAGCAAGAGAGGGTATGAGAAGTAGCCTACATCTTTACAGGCTGTTGCACGTAATTTTAAAACCTCACAAATTACAGAAAAAAGTTGATATCATTGATTCCATTTTTGTGTGTCTAGCCTCAGTACAGTGTTTCTTTTAGACTTTTTTCTCGAGTGGGGGGGGGGGGGGCACTTGATATTTTCGGGGGGGGGGGGGGGCGTCTACATTTTCCGGGGGGGGGGGGCGGACACTAGTAAAAGTATGTGTTTACTATATAAATTCCATCTCGTTCGGGGGGGGGGGGGCGGTAGACTTTCTTCAGGGGGACGGAGCCCTCCCGAAGAGATGCCTGAAAGAAACTCTGCTTCAGTAGGAGCTAAGATATGGCCTTTTTAAAAAAAATGTGGGCGTGGCAAGACACAGCTGAGACCTGTATAATGCACGTCAATGTTAATCAATGTTTATGTGAAAATAGTAAGATGATCTCAGTATACAATGAGTTCAGTCCAAGGTGACTGGACACACATATGGCCAGTTGAACAACACGAGCGTGCTAGAGATCAAACAGAGAAATATCGAACCTCCAACGGGAATGTCAACAGTATTGATTGATTGACGCATGTGAGAAAAAGTCGATCATAAATTAAACAGTGTTATCGATTTCAGATACAAAAAATGGATCGGAAATATTTCCGCGGGTCGATAGTTTATTGTCTCGGTAGAGGACGGCATGAGAAGTAAACACATCCTGATAGTTCCATGGTGTGTGTGTGTGTGGGGGGGGGGGGTAGTCGGGGTCGGGATAGGGGAAGGGGTCGGGGTTCGGGGGGGGGGGGGGTCGGGTTAGGGGGTGTCGTGTATTGTCTCGACAGAGGACGGCATGAGAAGTAAACAAATCCTGATAGTTCCATGGTGTGTGTGTGTGGGGGGGAAGGGGGGGGGGGGGGTAGTCGGGGTCGGGATAGGGGAAGGGGTCGGGGTTCGGGGGGGGGGGGTCGGGGTTAGGGGGTGTCGTGTATTGTCTCGGCAGAGGACGGCATGGGAGATAAACACATCCTGATAGTTCCATGGTTTGTGGGGGGGGGGGGGGGTAGTTGGGGTCGGTGTAGGGGTCGGTGTAGGGGGGGGGTCGGGGTTGTGGTCGGGGTAGGGGGTGTCGTATATTATATTGTCTCGACAGAGACATCCTCATAGTTGCATGGTGTTATGGGGGGGGGGGGCAGAGGTGTCGTATCGTCTTTATTAGGCTATCGAATTCCTTTGGTATTGTTCACATGGGTCGCATAACGGACCATACAAGGACACACGGATATGGTAAGGGTAAAAACAAGACTAATTACATATCGCATTTCATGACAATTTTTTTTTTAAATATGAAGAGCATGTTAAGTCACATCAGCTATGAGACTGTCTTCACTCTTCGGAGGAAGAACTGTGTGACGTTATATAGAATTACAACATCTACCAGAATAGACAATGTTGGACACGATGCTACTAGTCAAGAATTAACTGTTCCTAAATTAGACTTATTTATTCTTCATCGGCTAGAGCAGAGCACTGCTGGCCGTAATGAGTTAAGCGGGACAGCTAATTAATACGACTGCCATTCCGAGCAGGGTGACTTCCCCTTACAGGAGCTGTTCACTTGACTGTGACGTATAGATTTCCTGAAACAGGCTCAGCCATTTTGTTTTGGTCGGAGTTTTTGTTTTTCTCGGAATTTTCTGTATTCCTTTTATTTTTATTTTTTTTACGTAGGGCCTATCTAGTTAAATTGCAAACGGATGCCCATTAATGACGTCAATCGTTTTTTTTCCTACCTTATATATCTACCTTACAATTGTCTAAAGAAAGTCAACAAAATGCGAAATAAATGCCAAGTTTCAGTTTATTATATAGGTCCTATATTGATACATTTTTTATTCCAATTGTCTAAAGAAAGTCTACAAAATAAATGCTAAGTTTCAGTTTATTATATAGGTCCTATATTGATACATTTTTTTTTATTCCAATTGTCTAAAGAAAATCTACAAAATAAATGCTAAGTTTCAGTTTATTATATAGGTCCTATATTGATACATTTTTTTTATTCCAATTGTCTAAAGAAAGTCTACAAAATAAATGCTAAGTTTCAGTTTGATTCCCCTCCCCCAATGAATATGATGACGTATATTTATAAACACATGCTAATTTGTTTTTGTTTTTAATTAAAAGTCAGTTTGAGCGATTCGCCAAACTTATTCGTAATTGACATGAAACAAATTGTAACCACGCGTAACATATCTTAGGCCATTTACAAGACGTCATTAAACCACTTTCAAATCCCTAGGACGTGCAGTATAAGGAGACCAGTTTAAAGGTGTTGGGCTGCTACCTCCTACATATATAGCGGGGGGGGGGTCGGGCAACAATCGTAGATTACAATACTAGGACTAGGACAAGGCCATTTTTACTACACCAACTCCATAGAGAATAGTGTGGTAACCCTGATGATCAATTGTGCAAATGGAGTAGAGTTCACTTGTTTCTATGACCTAGACATATAAAGAAATATAGCAAGTCGCCTTTACTCTCTCTCTCTCTCTAACGTGCCAGGTACCCATAAGAGCTGAGCGGACTCAGGTGCGCCCTTCGGACAAGGATCTGAACTTAAGACTTTAGCAGCCATGGCTGGAAACGCAACAGTCAGTTTGATATATAGCCATAGTAACAGATGAACTCAACTACACCTATGTTATAAATAGACTGGACTCGTAAAACTTGTAATCTTTTTTTTTTTTTTTGACTCAACAAAAATTCAATCTGGTAAATAAAAACTTAATAATTAATTGATTAGAGTTTTTGTCTTTAAGTTGACTGCATGTGGATAACAATCAAGTAAATTTAAAACTCTCCAATCACGTTTACAAATAAACTTACCAGAGCAAGTCACTAACGTGAAGCAGAGAGCGAGCAGCTCAAGTCTGAAATCCATTGTCATTCTTTCAGTTGATTAGCGTTGTTGTGGGGACCGTTTTGTTTCGTGCAGATCTGAAGAAAGGGTGAAAGTTTTTAATCTGCTGATTGCAATAATTTTATTTTCAATAATGTTTGAGTCACAAGAGAGAAAGCGGTGGGGGTGGGGGTAGGGGGGGAGCGATATTGGGGTAAGAGATGGGCAGACAAACAATGCCATATGACAGGGATTGTCACGTGATGTGTCACAACTAAATGTCATAATTTAATATTTTTTTAGTAGTGACAAGTCAAGGCAAAATTTCCACCCGAATTTCCGGTTAAATACACCTGAACAAATACCCCACGATACACTTCCTTTTTGTTAAAGTTACCAAAGTGTGACAAAATGATCAAATAGACGCAGCTCGCTTGTGATCAGCCGTACTGTCACTTCTGCTGTGACGCTATCGTCTTGTAAAAAGTTTAGTAAAGTTCCTTTTTAGAATCTAACGTCCACAGGGCAAGTGATGCAGAGTTCACCTGTTTCTGTGACCTCGGCATATAGATCTACTGGGATATTGTGGTCAGTAATATGACAAGTCGCCTTTATTTTCCTAACGTGAGTCAGGTACCCATCAGAGCTGGGTGAGCTGAGTCCAATTAACTGACGGAATCTCATTTTGAAAAACAACCAAAAAATAATATACATATATTTAATTTACTAATTCAGAGTAGAAATTTTCTTAATTGTTACATCATAACACTTAATCCTAGTTAAAAATGAAATACGTTAACTAACTTAATCGACACACACATTATATATATATATATATATATATATATATATATATATATATATATATATATATATATATATATATATATATATATATATATATATATATATATATATATATATATATACATACAGTGGTGGAGTCGGGGAAGCAATGAGTCGTTGTTTATCCAGACATGAAGTATGTGACGACACAAACATATTTACCATTATAAAACCCATCTCTCAATGTGACACAAACACGACCAGTGTTTTACAACATCACAACACGACACGGCGTGTAACAGGGGAATTATGCAACAGGGGAATTATGTAAGAAGGAGATTGACTATCTGGTCCAGGTATAATTGCAGGATATATTAACCGGTGGGATAAATTTTCGGGTAGGACAATATAACCGTTGGATCAACTTCCCGGTGTTACACAAATTGTTGACCAAAACAAACGATAATCTATGGGGAAAAGTTAACGAGGTTGAGAGAGTCAACAAAACTGTTACAAATAAACGGTATGAAATAAACGGTATGAAATAAACGGTATGAAATAAACGGTATGAAATAAACGGTAAGAAATAAACGGTATGAAATAAACGGTATGAAATTTAAAAGTACAAACTTAGCGGTAACTAAATAAATCTATAAAAGATATTATTTATACCCAAACCCTGTCACTGAAAGCCACAAAAGTTGGCGATTGGCCAATTTGGCCTCCATCAGACTGCTCTATAAGTCTGGTGACAATGGCCGCACTTAAAATAAAGCCAAATAAATAAGAGATTTGCCCTAAGTTGCCAGGACAGTTCCTGTGTCGTCTGCCTGTGATTTGGTGCCAGACATCCTTGTTGCTCCACGCGATAAATGTCCCGGGGAAAATATTGTCTTTGTGGATTGGTCAAACAAATCTTAGCGCGTGACGTGATTGCTTGGCCGAGAGTAATTAATTAATTAGTGATTAATCTAAAATACATGGTATTGCTGGAATTACAGTATTTTTAACAAGCTGGCTAGACGTTTATTTTAGATAGGGGTTGGGTGGGTCTGTGGTTGAGGTAGGGGTTGGGTGGGTCTGTTGAGATAGGGGTTGGGTGGGTCTGTTGAGATAGGGGTTGGGTGGGTCTGTGGTTGAGATAGGGGTTGGGTCTGTGGTTGAGATAGGGGTTGGGTGGGTCTGTGGTTGATATAAGGGTTGGGTGGGTCTGTGGTTGAGGTAGGGGTTGGGTGGGTCTGTGATTGAGGTGGGGGTTGGGTGGATCTGTGATTGAGGTGGGGGTTGGGTGGATCTGTGATTGAGGTGGGGGTTGGGTGGGACTGTGGTTGATGTAGGGGTTGGGTGGGTCTGTGATTGAGGTGGGGGTTGGGTGGATCTGTGATTGAGGTGGGGGTTGGGTAAGTCTGTGATTGAGGTGGGGGTTGGGTGGGTCTGTGATTGAGGTGGGGGTTGGGTGGATCTGTGATTGAGGTGGGGGTTGGGTGGGACTGTGGTTGATGTAGGGGTTGGGTGGGTCTGTGATTGAGGTGGGGGTTGGGTGGATCTGTGATTGAGGTGGGGGTTGGGTAAGTCTGTGATTGAGGTGGGGGTTGGGTGGGTCTGTGATTGAGGTGGGGGTTGGGTGGGTCTGTGATTGATATAAGGGTTGGGTGGGTCTGTGATTGAGGTGGGGGTTGGGTGGGTCTGTGATTGATATAAGGGTTGGGTGGGTCTGTGATTGAGGTGGGGGTTGGGTGGGTCTGTGATTGAGATAGGGGTTGGGTGGGTCTGTGGTTGATGTAGGGGTTGGGTGGGTCTGTGATTGAGGTGGGGGTTGGGTGGATCTGTGATTGAGGTGGGGGTTTGCGTGGGTCTGTGATTGAGGTGGGGGTTGGGTGGGTCTGTGATTGATATAAGGGTTGGGTGGGTCTGTGATTGAGGTGGGGGTTGGGTGGGTCTGTGATTGATATAAGGGTTGGGTGGGTTTGTGGTTGAGGTGGGGGTTGGGTGGGTTTGTGGTTGAGGTGGGGGTTGGGTGGGTCTGTGATTGAGGTGGGGGTTGGGTGGGTCTGTGGTTGAGGTGGGGGTTGGGTGGGTTTGTGGTTGAGGTGGGGGTTGGGTGGGTTTGTGGTTGAGGTGGGGGTTGGGTGGGTCTGTGGTTGAGGTGGGGGTTGATTGGGTTTGTGGTTGAGGTGGGGGTTGATTGGGTTTGTGGTTGAGGTGGGGGTTGATTGGGTTTGTGGTTGAGGTGGGGGTTGATTGGGTTTGTGGTTGAGGTGGGGGTTGATTGGGTTTGTGGTTGAGGTGGGGGTTGATTGGGTTTGTGGTTGAGGTGGGGGTTGATTGGGTTTGTGGTTGAGGTGGGGGTTGATTGGGTTTGTGGTTGAGGTGGTGGTTAGTTGGGTCTGAGTTTGAGGTGGGGGCGTTGGGATTAGGCATGGATTAGCCAGAAACCTTATCCCAGCTAGGAGTGAGTAAAGATATTTACAACTCACCAACAACCAACAAGGCCAGGGCTGGGTGGTGTTAAACGCCACACTAGTCACAGACTCATGCCACGTCCGGAAAACTATCGACCCCTCGGTATCGGACTACGAGAGAAAGGAACCAAAGCGTACCCAAGAGCCCCACCAGTGGCGGATGGTAAAACTACGTGTCTAAATATCTCTTATGATGGCGTATCGTGTAAGAGAGTAAGGAACCGACGTGATGATCTCTACTGAAAGTAGAATAACACCCCCAACAAATTCTACACTGTGTGAATGTTAGAAAAATCTACGTAACGGCCAAAGTTTAAATGAATGACAAACAACGCAGATGCGTAGCGACCCTTCCCGGCCCTGGGACAAACTTTCGATTTGCACCCTCCTCGAACTTTTCATTTGCACCCTCCCCCCTCAAACTTTCGATTTGCACCCCCCTCGAACTTTTCATTTGCACCCTCCCCCCCTCAAACTTTCGATTTGCACCCCCCTCGAACTTTTCATTTGTACCCTCCCCCCCTCAAACTTTCGATTTGCACCCCCCTCGAACTTTTCATTTGCACCCTCCCCCCTCAAACTTTCAATTTGGCGCCCCCCCCCCCCTAAGGTCGGCGCCCGGGGACAAATGTCCCCCGCCCCCCCCCTCGCTACGCCTCTGAAACAACGCCCTTTTTACGGGGGGGGGGAGTGGATTGTGTGGTAAATTAGGAAGTTTTTGTGATTGTCGTGAATCTCTTAACATTCTTTAAACACCCACACATCTCCGTGTTTACACCAAACCTTCAACCACACATCCACGTGTGATAAAGGTGTGTTCATTGATAAGTTGCACTCTTAAGATCGACGCATTTCTTTCTCCACTACCGCAGTAAATCGGGGACAATCCTAGGGGCTTTCTCAAGGGGAGACAACGAACAATCACCAAAAGTCGCCTTTTCAACTTTGGACATGCGCAATCGAGTGTGATGAATGTAATGGGGTCAGCGTGATACGGCTTATAAAAACACATTAAAATATTTTGTCATGATCGAAATAGAAAATATTTATGGTAATTTCCCACGCTGAATTGGTGATAAGACTTGAATTATTTAAGGGTTAGTCATGCCCATATATTTATACAGATTGCGTCGCCCGCTAACGATATCTAACCCTTTGTCTACCATGATCCTAACCTTAATATAGATAAATACACCTAGGCCATAATCCAACGAAACTAATCTTGTAAACAAGAATCACGCAAAAAAATGGGTACGGCTAATCTTATAAGCCTATCAATATCGCAGGTAGAATGTGAAATGTTTTTTAAAGGTATTAAATTATGACACGAAAATCAAGACTTTATCAGTTCTGGAGCTACACAACTTAAAAAGCCAGTTTTTGAAACCGGATGGTCAATATTGCGGATGAAGTAGAGTTCATCTGTTGGCCTAGGTATGTGAAGTATCTTGTATAATCAACACAATTTTCGATCAGCGACATAAGATATCGTGCCAGTCCCCCAGTCCCCCCCCCCCCCCATAAAACTGATCACTTGAATGACATTCCACCCCGTGTGTCGTCAGTGACGGTTGGGTGACTTCCCTGTAAACTCACTCGGCTGCCGGTTGGCTGAATGCCTGGTAACCCCGTGAACTTTGATCTTTGAGAAGTTCAATTGAAAGGCTATCAAAACTAGATATCTAGCTATCTAGTTTTCAAAATTCTTTTTTTTTTGTATCTGTGTGGCTTATGTTGTATGAAAGGGGAACTTCTTTTCTTCCATATATATATATATATATATATATATATATATATATATATATATATATATATATATATATATATATATATATATATATATATATATA